TTGATCGAGGTTTTTTCCCACTGGGTTTTCCTGGCAAGGTTTTTAATGAGGCAACAAATGGTGCGTATCAAAAGATATGTGTACTCTTTTTCCTTCACTAGAATTTTTTCCCACAGGGTTTTTCCTAGTAAGGTTTTTAACGAGGCACATTATCTATGGACATCCAAGGGGGAGTGTTATAAATTTATTGAATGAGTGGATAGTCCATAAGGTTGGTACATGAACAACCATTCATATTCACTAGGTTACATGAACCTTTTTGGATAAGAATGTATCTATTTATTATGATACTTAATATGGTGACCTTTGGAGTGGTTTCTCACTCTATAAATAGGGTTGTTCATTCACTATTGTAATATAGATATATGAAAGTTATATATACTTGAATAAGAAAAAAGTCTTATCTTCCATCTTACTTCTCTTGTCTTCATCTCTTTATATTTATATCTCTTATGAGCTTGATTTTATAACAAAAACCTCTTATTTTCTGCAACACTATTCTTGGATTTGAAAAAAGCAAGTTAGGGTAATTTCTACTCACTTGATCCATTAAGTTTGTCAATAAAGTTAAGTTCATTATTTTGCAATCTTGTTAGTTTATTCTTAAGCCTTAAGAATCTAGGATATTATTCTTGGAGAGGGTTTTGACTTGATTTCATGGTGAAGAAATCTATAGGTATGATAGAATGATCATGAATTGGCATGTGATTACGATTGAGTTACGATTTAGGAATATTAGGTCATTTTTCATTGGTTGTTGTATTTTATTATTGTTGCATATCATTCTGCAAAAGAGAGAGAGGGTACTGAAGAGAGAGGGCGCTCGGGCACATAAGTATTAGGTTTACCATTGCACACAATTATTCTGTTATTATCTCTTGTTCGTTTAACTATTCCTCGAGACATTTTTTTGATAGCCCTTGAAAAGACGCTATAGAGATGAATATGAGACAAGTGCAATCAGGTAATCGACCTAATAATCCACATACATGATAAAAGATAATTTCAGTCCAAGTGTACTTACTCAAAGTTATTGAACAAGGGGAAAACTCAGGTTCTTTAGAATTTTTAAGATGCTTGATTCGTGGTAGGTGATGGTTGTGTTTTTTTGAAGTTATGTATGCATGAATGTCTACTACTTTGTAGTATCACTTGTGCGATGCATGTTGGAAAAAACATAGAGAATGATATGAAAGGACACCATATTGATAATATTATGCAATGAATTACTTGATTACTTTATGTGGTTTCAAGTGTTATTGTTCATTATGATTGTGATTATGCATGTTGTTTATGATTTCTAGTTGGCTCGGGTGACACGATGGTACAAAAATACTAGCAGTTGACTCGAATACGATATTGATATAAATGCTAATGCTAGTTAGCTCTATACCACACCGTACACTAATAGTTTGTGTGTGGATTTCATGATAGGACTGGGTATGTTGTGATCATGTGGGACATGTTTTAGATATGAGTCGAATCAATATATTGCGACTGAGAGTCTGTATTCGTGATTGTTGTTATGCGTGTTAACCTATGTTTATTATGTTGTAGTTGTTTGTTTATATTCAGAGTTTAGAATAGACCGTATGATCCTATCGGTATACTATAGTTATGTATAGATACTGCACTTGTTCTCTTCTTGTTGAGTACATGGCATGATCAAGCGGTTCATACGAGGACTGAGTTGAAGGAAGTGTGACCAATCGAATCCAAGGGTGAGCTACTCTCTAGTTTGTTAAGGGTTCTTCTAACTTTGCTTTTCCATCTTTTGAAACACAACACTTTAGGTTGTTACATTATGTTTTAGCTTCGGGCTCACATCCTCATTCTTGACTATTTAGAGCTTTGTTTTTGTGATTTTTAGTTTTTAAGAGTTAATTATCACATATGTTTTGACTATTGATTGAGTTTATGGGGCTCAATCCTTTACTTATTTTAAAACGGTTTTCCTACTATTTATTTCATGACTTGGCTTCATACAAAAGTGTTTTGGGTTAAATTTTTGAATGCTAATTGGTTGCCTCATCGGAGAGTTAGTGTAAGTGTTATCCAGAGAAGTATAGATTGTGAAAAAGCACTTCAGAATCAAATTAATGCAAAGTTAATCAATAAAGAAGAAAGACTTAGTGAGTGACTAATAAAAGAAATAAAGCTAAAAAGGATAATGAAAGGATAAACAAAAATACAGTCAAAATTAAAGACTTAGTGAGTGACTAATAAAATAAATAAAGCTAAAAAGAATAATGAAAGGATAAACAAAAATATAGTCAAAATTTTGATTTAATAAAGAAGTGCCTAAAATATATCTTGCTAATCAACTCCTCATTTCACTTTATGTACCAAACGGAAGTTCTAAATATCATAATACACAAAGAAATATGCAAAATAACTCAACACACAATGACACATAAATAATGAAATCGGCTCCCTATCATCTCTCTACCTAACAATGTACTTGAATTCAATGGTATATTTTCAAGCCCATTATTATTAGTCTATAGTCAATTTTAGAGTCTAACGTGTCTCATATTGTTTGAATATGAAAAATATTACAGTTGATTTTAAATTTTTGCAAGTAATTTAGAGTGAAAATTGTCAAAAACAACTTTTAAAAAATATATCATTTTACTTGATATTTTTTAAATTACATTTATATCCTTTCTTCTACGGTGTGAATTCATAATTGCCTAATCATATGAAGTATTTGTTTTTAAAATACAAATGACAAAACGTCTTCCAACCTTAGTAGTAGACTAGTAGTCACAAATTTATAATCTTGTTCTACTCTGTTCACCGGAAACCACAAAAATCCAATGACGATGAAAGCAGAGCTTGTTTTCATTCCTTCCCCTGCAGCAGGCCACCTTATCTCCGCCGTTGTGTATTTATGTTATTAAGTTTTAATTCGAGTTACACTTGAATGTGTAATTGCATGAATTACTACATTTAATTTTTGAACTTTTGACCAAAATAAGTCATTCTATAAATCAATTCACCAAAATAGTATGTTTTTAATTTTGTTTACAAAACTAGTATAAACGTGGTTCACAGTAACGTTTTATGCTTTATTTTATTTTAAAAAATTTAATGAAAAAAAAAAGCAAAAGTTCACGGAGCAAACAGAAATAAATCGTTATTGACAATAACGTTTTATGCTTCGTTATCTAGAATCACGTTTTAGAGCTAAAACGTTACTTAAAGTAACGTTTTTATATTTTAGTACGTTTTATCCAGTCACGGGCTCTGCAATTAAAGAATCGAATCCTGTATTTTACAGATTATAAAACGTAACTGACAATCACGTTTATTATGTAAAACGTAACTGTCAATTACTTTTTATGTTTATTTAATCACGGAGCACCAAATTAAGAATAAAATCCTGCTACATTGGAATCTTACAGATCATAAAACGTTATCGCTGATCACATTTCTGCATTAAATCGTGACTATCAATTACGACACTATGTTAAAGTTAATTTTTTCTTTTTTTACTGACGACAAATGGTTATAAAATGAACCTTGTTGAAACAAATGTTCTAAGCACTCCAACAATATTCATTCAAAATTTTGTTTGTGTAGCCCAATTTTGAAACAATATTTACAATGGTATGAATTAAATAAGTCAAGTCAATGTATCATATTGTGTTATTATTTTTACCATAGCTTTCAAATATTTTTCTAATTTATTACTTAGAAAGATGACTTATTTTTATGTGTAGGAATAAAAATGGCAAATTTTGAACATAATGTGATGGTTGCTTTGTACTGGGGTGGCGAAATAATTACTGAAATGAACGGATGCAGGTATATTGAATGTGCTAGAATGATTATTAACATGTATACTTCAATGAAGTATGTTGAATTGATTGAATTATTGCATGAGAAAATGGGTACAATTAGTGAAAATATTCAAATGGATATTTCGGAAAAATATCCTTGTTCGATTCAAGGTAACCGTATAAGGTTCATTGAGTTTAAAATTGATGATGATCAATCTTTGCTACAATTTTTTGTTATACCTCAAAACTTTGCGGATAAGATTGACATAAATGTTTTGGAAATGTATGTAAAGACCAAATCAACAAATCAAAATGATATATTTCAAATTAGTGGTCAACATGGTTATCACATGAATTTATTGTCTCAAAATTATGGATTTGCCACGGTTAGACTACCTCATTATGCAGAGCCGATTGCTCAACCACCATTTCAACAATTGTTAATGCATGACCAAGGATCATTTGGCGAAGGTTCAAGTAGCCAAAGACATGTTGACAATAGTTCGAGAAAATATGAGAGCAGGTAAAACAACAAATTTATGTTTTAATGAATTTTAATATAATTAGTTGATAACACAATTTTACTCATTATAAATATACATATATAGATAAGCTATATTAATTCAATCCTTCTCTGGTTTCTGTATAAAGTAATCATTCCTTGTTTGAAGACTATGATAAGCTATATTAGGTTGTTAATATTTGTCACATGAATCGTAAATATAGAATACAATCAACGTGACTAAGACAATATAACTCTCATTTTATGTACGTCAGTATCGATCTTCCTTGCCCATTTTTTCTTTTTGTTTCTCATTCCATTTTACATGTTTGAAGCCTTAAAATTCTAATTTAAAAATGCAACATACAGAAATAGAAAGGAGAAAAGAAATAGGATAAAAACATTTACGGCATAAAACATTACAAAACTTAAAAAAGCCAGCAAAGGAGCAACATTTATGGCATAAAAACATTTACACAGCTTGCAGAAATACAAGCTTCAACAATCAGTGCCATAAGAAACTAGAGTTATGTCGACAAAAAAGAAGAAGTTAGGCCTTGCTTTGCTCAAAGTTCAAACAGGAACATCAGAACTGAATCCTGAATAAAGAGGATGGAAATATAATTACAGTCGACCCCAACTAGTACTTGATTTGATTGAACAAAATTCTAATCAACACAATTGGAACTAATACTTCCCAGAAAGCTCATAAATAACAGCTGCAACAGCACATCTTTTTAACATAAACCAATACAATAAACAACAACAACAACAATAAAGCATGAAATTCACTGCAAATTAAAGCTAAATTACATAAGCTAAATAAAAAACACAACTTTACCACTGCCCCAAAATCTGGGCATCAAACTAAAACTAAATTAACAGGAGTTAAAGCAAATTACCACTCGCGATGTGTCCACAAATTCAATACAACAACATACCGAATGTAATCCACCACAGTCTGGGGCGGTTCACAGAATCATCCTTTGCCTTTTTTCTTTGTCAACACAGAAACTTTTGTTTTGTTCTTTTGGCCGTGCTGATTAAGATAATGACTCCCTAAAAGTAGGAACAACTTTTCAGTTATTCAACTAAAAAGAAACACTTTTTCAAAGAATAATGTGAAGATTTTAACATACCAGTCCTACAAAGCTTAGGAATGATTGTACGTTTTTTCTTCATTGATGGTTCACCACCTTGGCTTGCACCTTGATTCGCATCCTCCAACTCATCACCATCCATAAAGTTTGGGGCGTTGTCAAAATGTTGAGGTTGATTACTACCAAATACATTTTCAAGTGATGAAAGACTTGGATTCCTTGATATTTGTGGAGTCTGTGTTGTCGTGTACGTCACATTCTCAATGTTTGTTGGTTCATAATTCGAAACTGCTTGGGAATATTGTGTGGTTTGATCATCTTCACTCATTTCAATAGGTGCTCGACCTCTCTCAATAGCACGTACCTTCCTACCCGCAACACCACCTTTTCCTCGCCAACGAATAGGAGGATGCAAATGGTCAGACATTAGATCCTCTCTTCTATAATTTGCTTGAACTGAGTCCTATCTGCCTCTTGCACATATGCCAAACAATTAGATCCTTCATCCCGCACCATTGCACAAAACCCGTAAAATTCCTCCATTGATGGATTTTCACTGAGAGATATTGCTTTATTAACCATCAAATGAATATGACGCACCTGTCCAAAATAACAAAACTTGCCTCAAAATTCAAAATTAACCCATTCTAGCTATAGTTCGAAAGAAATCATTTATGCTCCAACAATTAATAAGCTAATATCAAACTTACCATTGTTTCGTATGTCGTTGCATTAGGCACGTAACCTTGTTGTTGTTGAGGACTCGAAATAGGATTACCAATGACAAAACGAGTAATACGTCTAAACCAAATAAGGTAGGGATCATCATACCGAAGTGATCCATGAAGGATTGGTGCATTCCATACATATTGATCAATATGGTTCCAAAAATGCAACCATTGTGCATGCTCTAACTCTCAATTTGTGTTTGATCTTCCTCGACGATCATGGTTAAAATGTGTAGCGTCAAATGCAAATGAAGATGGTATCGCTTGTACCAATCCAAATTGCCTCATAACTCGATCGGGTAAATGAACCTCAACAACATCCCAACAAAAAATTGGAACTCTAGCACGCCATATGTCTCTTCCAACGCGGCAATATTCGGGAAGACTCTCAATTATGTCAGAAGAATATGGTTCCCAAATAAACTATAAAAAAATACTCACAATTACAATATATACGAAAGTTAAGAGAAAATTAGTACAAAATCTTACCTGATCTTATGTCATGGAATCCAGCGCATCCCTGAAAACTCTTAACACGTGTTTGGTAGTATCGGTCCAACTAAAATGTGCATACCATCTAGCAGCATGTGGACCCCTTGGTAAACCAACAGGGAAAATATTTCTTGTATCTCTTTTTACTACAATCTGAGGCGTAAGGACGGTAACTCTCTCCCATGCCCAAATCTGGACATAATAGATAATTATAAACTAGATAAAATTTAGTGTAATTATTGAGTGTACCTGAAGTAGTGGTAGGAATCCAGCAATCTCATTTTGGCTACTTTGGGAGGCTTTACAAAGAAAACGATACAAATATGCTAGGGTTGCACTACCCCAACTGTAAGACCCTACTGTAGTGATATCCTCCAGCATAGGCAAGTACATAAGCTTTAAAAGACCACCAGATGTGTCTGCTAATAGTAAACCAACAATCATCCAAAACATATAACACCTAGCTTTCTCATTGACCATATCCTGTGTTGCCAAGTCGGGTAATCGTGGTTGAAGTCGCAAGTGTGCATTAAGCGCAGAAACCTTGAGACTACTATGTTTAAAGTCTTGAGGTTGTGGACTAAAACCTAATAATCTTTGACAAATATTTTTCCAATCCACTACAGACCTCTGTGGCTCATACCCAACTACTGCATTACCTTTCACAGGTAAGCCATACAATATCTCCACGTCCGGTAAAGTGATTGTACTCTCACCCGTCCTAAAGTGGAATGTATGAGTCTCAGGAGGCTATCTCTCAACTAGTGCGGTGATTAAGCTACGATCAATAAGAGGCCTATGAGACCTATAAACACTATATATTCCAGATAGTTTAATCACATCTAGGACTCGTGGATGAATGGGATGCTCATTTACTAGGTCCCAAAACTTCCCATCATATTTTCTTGTGTTCAAAATCATATCATCATTCCCTATCCATATATCTCGTGACCTATGAGTGAGCTTTCCATTTAATACAGACGGATCAAGTGGACCGGGATCCAATTGGTATGCATTATTAGCAGCCATAAAATAAATACCTATACAGAAGTAAGAATACAACGTAACTTAGAAGCTTTTCTCAATCTACGAGTGCAAGAGTTGTTAAATATATAGTGGTTGTAAATTATGTTTATATGACAGAAACGATCAAAAGCACAACAGTTTACTGCTTTCACTTACCAAAGATTTGGTAAGAGTGGCAGAGGCTAACCTACATCAACATTAAAATCTGAATTTTGACCAAAATAAGTTTCTATAAATCAATTCACCAAAGGAAAATAACAAATTCATCAATAATAAGATAAACTAAATCAATGTATGACAAAATTACCTGAATCACAAAAAGAACTCTTCTTTATCAAAGTTTTTTTTACCTTTTTAAAGCAGATCTGCAGCCGTTTTCAAAGTTTTGAAAATTTCACCTCCAATCTGCAGTGTTTAAACTACAATACTCGATCAACACTCTCAAATCTCTTGTATAGAGCAAAACGATTTCAAATAGAGTAAGATTAAGCATCAACTATGGAAGAACAAGAAGATGGTGGTCTTCCAAATTCGTACACTCTTCAGATACAACATTCATCAACTCCATTGTGCCTTTGGAGCGAGATTTGATGCTAGTTCTCTTCATCCCTTGTAACTTGAAGGTAGCTTTGGAGAATGAAGTGGGTTTTCTTGGAGGGTTTTCTTCCCCAATTTGTCGTTTTGGTCTCAGCCGAGTGCCGGCGAGTTTGGGGAAATACGGGTTGCAATCGAGTGCGATAATACCTTTTATCTTTCTCGTTTAAAAAAAACACAGAGAAGAGAGAGAAAGAGGAGAAGGGGCTAATTTATGTTTTACGCTTCAATGGAAAAAGAACCACCCTCGGAGGAACGAGCTTCTTCCCCAATTTTATATAACTAAATTGGGGTTTTTTTGTTCTAGGGAAGGCATAAATTATATATGCTTAAAACGTTATTCCTAATAACGTATTATAGTTAAAACGTAATTTTTAGTTACGTATTATTATTAAATTATATATGCTTAAAACGTTATTCCCAATAACGTATTAGAGTTAAAACGTAATCTCCAGTTACGTATTATTAATAAATTATATATGCTTAAACTGTTATTCGCAATAACGTATTAGAGTTAAAACGTAATTTCCAGTTACGTATTATTATTTAACGTCGTTAGCAGACCGTCCCTTTTCTCATTAAATTTTTTAAAATAAAATAAATTTTTTAAAAAATAAATAAAGTATAAAACGTTATTGTGAACCACGTTTATACTAGTTTTGTAAACAAAATTAAAAACATACTATTTTGGTGAATTGATTTATAGAATGGCTTATTTTGGTCAAAAAATCTTTAATTTTTATTATATATGAGGTGATATATTGTAGATGAACTTGTATTTTAGAGGATTAATTCATTGTTTGAAGTTCTTAGTTTAACTTGGTGTGACATTGGACGAAGCACGTCGATCTTAATATTTTGTCATGTTACATTTGATATTATACATACATTTTAACTAATTATTTCGATTAAATTCTATTATGAAAAGACTCTGTTGCAGGCAAAAGGTAACATATATCTCTTTTAAAAATTCATATAACTCATCGCACATTTTTCTAATATTATTTTAATAAATTATTACACGTGCAACGCACGTGCTCGAAAACTAGTATATATATGTATATATATATATATACACATATATGAAGCAAGCAGGAAACTAATCTAGACTAGTATATCAATTAGATATACAACTCTTATTTGGACATGTTTTTTAGTTTTTTTTTTAATTCGATGTTTGGAATCTGCATTAGAGCTTCGATTAAATTCAAATCGCGCAATGTAGAATTCATTAAGAAGTGACACTCTCAATAAGATTTTTTTTTTATATTCAAGGTTCAAAATCAATACTTTTAATTACAGAATAAAATAATCCTACTTGTACCATAATCCATATTGATACATGAATAATATAACTAAACGCAAGATAAAGTGGTCATTTCGACATTAAACATATAAAATTTGGACACGTGGAATATTTGGAAAAAAAAAGGAGAAGAGTTAAAAAAATAGAATTTGGAAGTTTGAGTTGAGTTAGTATATAAATTCAACTCAAATTTATTTTTGAATATATAAAATTAAAACAAACTTTTGAAAAATCTCAATTTTTTGTGCCACCTTACTGAATTTTTAATGATTTAAGCTTGTTAATTGCTTGGAGCAGCCATGACACATTCGAGCAGACTAGTAAAAATAAAAAACTTACAATTAATGAGATTTTATTAAAAACTTGTTGGACAAGATACAAGTTTTGGCTTAAAATAATCACCATTAACTATATATATATATATATAATATGATATGGCCTTGACCAAGGCCTAAGTTTATAATTGCACACACAAATTTGTTAACAGAAATACAAAGAAAATACCTCAATGAGGACGAAAGCAGAGCTTGTTTTCATTCCTTCTCCGGCAGCAGGTCACCTCATCTCTGCCGTTGAAATTGCAAAACTGATTCTCAACAGAGATGAGAGGCTCTGTATCTCTATCCTCATTATGAAGCTTCCAATGGATTTCGGTGTTCAATCTTACATCGAATCACTCTCATCTATACCCCGTTTGCAGTTCGTTGACATCACTGTTGACGAAAATACTATTGCTGGATTCATGTCAAATAAGGAGACCTTCTTCACGAACTTCGTTCGAAGTCATAAACCAAAAGTAAAAGATTTTTTAAATAACTCCAGCTTTTCTAGATCTGATTCTCGTCTTGCTGGCTTCGTTCTCGACATGTTCTGCACGTCAATGATAGACGTAGCTAATGAATTTTGTGTTCCTAGTTACATTTTCTTCACCTCAAATGCTGCTTTCCTTGCCCTCTGTTTTCATTTCGAGTCTCTGAAAAAGGAGCATCACGTCGATACCTCCAAATGCAAAAATTCAAATGAAGAATTAACAATCCCGGGTTTTAAAAACCCGTATCCAACGAAGTTCTTGCCTAGATTGACAACAGATCAATCAGTAATCACCACCACGTTCTTTGATTCTGTTACCCGAATCAAAGAGACGAAGGGTATTATGGTCAACACATTCGCCGATCTAGAACCTTTACCTCTTCGGTCTCTTTCAGTTCCCCCAATTTATCCAGTTGGTCCAGTGGTGAATTTTAAGGAAGGAGGTCATGGTCGAAACAGTCAATCCGAAACAGAGAGCATAATCAAATGGTTAGATGATCAGCCAGAGTCCTCTGTAGTGTTTTTGTGCTTCGGTAGTATGGGAAGCTTTGAAATGGAACAGATCAGAGAAATAGCAATTGCACTTGAGTGTAGTGGTCATAGATTTTTATGGTCGTTACGAAGACCACCACCAAAGGGGCAAATCGGGCTTCCGAGCAATTACGAGAATGCTGAGGAAGTGCTACCAGAAGGGTTTATTGAAAGGACAAATGGAGTTGGCAAAATGATTGGATGGGCACCTCAAGTGGCGGTACTGTCTCATCCAGCAGTGGGTGGATTTGTATCGCATTGTGGATGGAATTCTGTACTTGAAAGCTTGTATTTTGGGGTACCAATAGCTACTTGGCCCCTGTATGCTGAACAACAGATGAATGCGTTTGAGTTGGTTAAAGAATTGGGAGTGGGAGTGGAGATTCGAATGGACTATTTCAAGGATTTCCATGGGAATGATGAGAATGTCGAAATTGTGGGTGCAAAGGAAATTGAAAGTGGTATACGAAAGTTGATGGAGAACGCAGATGAGAATGAAATAAGGAGAAAGGCGAACGAGATGAAAGAGAAGTGCCATGGAGCTATGAAGGAGGGTGGCTCATCTTATGCTGCTCTTGGGCTTCTAATTAAGGATGTCATTAGTAACATTTCTTGATCATTTTGTTCTACACGTTATAGTTGTTGCCTGTTGTGTTGTATCGTATTGTTGGTTTAAAAAAAAATGTTTGTTTTGATTATTAACTAAATTATATTGTATCGATATATTTAAACCATTGTTAGGTAATGATGAAAATACTATTTTATGTAATGATTAATTTTGTCTGATTGCGTAGTTATCTTAATAATCTTTTTCTCATTTTCTCTTTATTTCTTATCTGATAATTATATCTTCCTTTACCCTAGCTTTTCATAGTAAATTTATCCCACACCTTATTTTTTTTATAAATGTATTATTCAAATTATAGATATATGACATTATAACGAACCAAGAAAATCGTTTTATTTATAAGCAGTATATATATTTGAAATACGATGAAAAAATGTCCTATTCTACCACTAGTGTATTTACAACTTTCAATTGGATACGAAAAATACTGTTACACGCAAGCTTAAGTATGACCTTATGATTTTTTTTAATGATTGTGGATCGGACATAATGCTTGGGCCATTCCAATAGACTATGTTAGAACTTTAATTAATGAGATCTCATTAAGCACTATTTGGTAGGGGTGTGCAAAAATCATTCATAAATCGAATCAACTAAAGTGTTATTGGTTTATTGATATTGGTTATTCAATTAACGATTGTTATTGGTTTTATAAAAAAAATTATCAAGTTATCAGTTCAGTATTGATTTGTAATATTGGATTATTGGATAAATCGATAACTCATTAAGAGACAAGTAATTTAAGAAAAATGCACAAGTACCTCTCTAGACTATGACCGAAATTCCAGAGACACACATTAACTATTCTAAGGTCCTATTACCCCTGAACTTATTTTTTTGTAATTTTGTGCAACTTTCGACTTACGTGACACTCAAATATCTCTCACGTGCCTCAATGGTGGGGAGTCATGGAGTGTGCCAAGTAAAAAAAAATGTGTATAAAATTACAAAAAAACAACAAGCTCAAGAAGGTAATAGTCTCTTAATTTAGTTAAGATGTGTCTCTGAAATTTTGGTCATAGTTTAGGGGGATTCTTGTGCATTTCCCTAGTAATTTTCTACATTTACTTGTACATAAAGAGAAAATGCACAAGTATCTCCTCTAAACTATGATCGGAATTCCAGAGACATACCTTAGCTAAAGTAAGGTCGTATTACCCTCCTGAACTTTTTTAAAAAAAATAATTTTGTGCACTTTTTTGACTTACATGTCATCCAAATATCTCTCATGTGCCTCAATTATGTGGAGTCACGGAGTATGCCACATAAGACAAAAGATGTATAAATTTTTTTAAAAAATAAGTTTAGGGTGTAATAGGACCTTAGTTTAGTTAAAGTGTGTCTCTGAAATTTCAATCATAGTCTAGCGTGTAATTGTGCATTTTACCCTACATAAATATTGTATATTAATCTCAATACCTTATTAGTTACTTTTTTTTATTCGTTAGCCTTGAATTCACACTTCAAAGTGACTACTAGTTCACAACTTCACATTATAAAAAACGTCAAAATCTAAAGTAAGAATCATATTTCTCTTAATTTCTCTTTGTGTTAGACTTGTTTAGTTTTTCATTATATTAATGTGATGTCACGTCGTCAAATTTATTAGAGAAGTCATATATTT